CACCACAGCCTTTCTTGTGTTTCAGTGTCTTATGACATAGAAATAAGTATCACTGCTTTGCTGATTTCAGGGTTTGTAGTGCTGTATGCCACATTAAGAAGTCAAAGTATTGACAGATTATATTTATGGTAGAAATACCTTTCATAATGCCCTGAGAAAGCTAGCTTATCTTTGTTTAACCATGGTATTTTAAGCTGAGTTTTTCTCTTCCAGACCCACCAGGGGAGTTTGTGGAAGCAGACATTACCACTAGGTTCAAAAAAGCAGCTGCACATATTTATGGACAAGAGGTCCAGAATATTTCTAATATCCTTTGATATCCCTAATCCGAAAATTTTAACTCTGGGGCAGCAGGAAGGGAATGAACAGCAATATGTGGACGGGCTCACGTGTTCTCTCCTAACAGCAGCTCTGATTGCCACAGCCACAGACACTGCATGGCTAGTCCAAGTCAGCAGGCAATTTCTTAAAATATCATCACAAAAACTACAAGAAGGAGACTTAGCTACTTCAGCTACTACAGCTTTTTCTAATATGCTGTGACTACTGAGTAAAGTGAACACAATCAAAGAGATTAACATGGAAGCAAGCAAGCAATCTCAGCCACATTGTGCTGCAGGTACCAATGTGCTGGTTCAGCCAAGGGTCTGCTCATAATAGCAGAGGGGAGGTGAGCTCCTTCAAGACTCCAAAACCCTTACGGCTGCAGTATTTGTTCATTCAGTCCAGGACAGAGCCATGAGCACTGGAGCTGCAAGGAGGAGGGCAGATTTGTAGGCCAACATAGCCTGCAGGAAACTCATTGAAGTGGCAGTGCTTCCAATTAAGGATAATCGTGGAAATCATTACCAAGACATCAAGTGCAGAAACAGCAGTTGAAATACAGCACAGCACAAATACAGCACCACAGTTCCATGATGTGGGCCAGCAAAGATTTGTGACTGTAGAAAAAGGGGGGAAAAAATCGAAAGCTGTGTGAGCAGGGTAGTTCCAGGGAAACATTTTCAGATGTTTCTTTTTGACTCTAATTTTCTGAGAATGATCTATATATTTTGGTTGGCTATAAGACTCCACAAAGTGTAAAACAGACACCCATATTGGTTAATACAAACATTCTTAGGCACGACAAATGAGGAACAGTATATAAAAAAATATTGTATCAGACTCCACTAATTTTTACACAATAAAAATCTTTGTTTAGGGAAGCAAACTTTGATATTTCTGAAAAAATAATACATGTGAACAGCTGCCAACATATAGTCATCTCGTTAACTAAGACTTACACTAGTGGTCATGTAGACAGGTAATGGTGCAAATAATTGCATAAAAAATGTATATATAAGGATAATATTGTTCTTTGCATGTCAATGAAAGACACTTGGACCTGAGATTTCATCTGCCCTGAACAAAAAGGGTTGACTGCAGCTTAAATAACTCTGCTCAAACTGACTTTAATTTAGGTAGGTCTGTTACCAACAGTTGTGTAGCTAGAGCAACATGGATCTCAGCACAGACTGGACAGGTACCAAACCTCTCTGGCAGCTGCACTATATTCTGTGGAGTTGCAGATATTTCCTTGGAGGGACCTGAAGAGCCAGTTTAAAGCTAATTTGGGAAAAGCTACATGAGCAGCAGTAACAAAACAGCAGAGCCCCACTATGTGTGGTGCTTGGTACTGCTCTACTCATTGCTTTCCTGGTGCTGGGTAAGAAGACACGTGGAAACAAATAAGACAAAGACCTGGGGCCTACAAGCACCAAAACCACTAGGCATTTATGAACAAGCCCAGGAAGATTAATTAAAATTTACCTGCAGAATTCAGAATGTTTACAGCTTCCAATAAAGTCCAAAAGTTTCTGCTTAGCCCACCAGCTCATCTGTGCAGCTCTACCAGACCTGACTCTGGTTTAACTTCTACCCATTTGAAGCAATTGAGTTATGCTGGCAAAAGTCACAGCAAAGTCAGAATCAGGGACTTTTTAATGCAGCATCTACATGCTGATAGGATGTTCTCAAACCACAATACCATTCAAAAATGTTCTACAGCACATTTCCCAGTATATGAAATATGTTCTACAACAGGCTAATCATTGATAAGAGCATGTAGGATGTTGCTATTTTTTCCTGTACAAAAGCCACTAAGAAGAATACCAACCCTGACAGCTAGGTTCTTGGGTGATGTGAAGTATGTACAGGTTGCTGTGCTTTTATTACTTAAGCACTAATGGCAATTTCTGAAAAAGAATCCAGGCAAAGTGGCACATAATAGGAGATCCGTTATAAGAGTAGTAAAAATTAAGGTTCAGGCAAATGACTAACATTGACAGGAATATAAACAGTCAGCTGGCTAAGGTTTAAAATAAATTAGGTAATACTATTTACTGCATTAAAAAAAAAAAAAAAGTAATTTTTAGGAAAAAATAGCATTTAAATCCTCGAGATCAAAGTCTATCACGTGTTATCACTCAGTTTTACATAATCCAAGAAATGCTAAGAAGCTTCTGAAAAAGTCAACTAGAACATCAATTGCAGATTCAAGATTCCCTCAGGAATCTTGCCTCACTATAGTGTGTGTGCCTTATTTACCAGATGACAGTGACATAGATTACGTGTTTGTGAGGAAGAGAATGCAATACTCTGTTCCTTGCTTGACTTACACCATATAGCCAGCAGTATTTTAATACAGCTACTCTTAACCTAACCAATGATAACTTAATCGTAAGAAAACATTCTTTTAAAGGAATAAAGGGTTCGCTACAATGGGATGTTGAATTTATACAACAGAACTCCCCATCGAAATGCAACTTTACTGCTAGTTACCTACAGCAGAAAGAAGTGCTGGACTCATCTGTCTACTATGCTTGTAATTTTGGCTTTGTGAATTTCAACTAATTTTCCATAGTCATTTCACTGTTGATTTTTTCAATCCTTAAGAACTCAGTTGTCCTTTGGGAACACAAGACAACAGCTGCCTTTTTATATGGGAAGTATAGAGTAACTAATACCTCTCACATACAGCCCTCTACAGACTGGATTTTGCAAACACAGGGCCACTTGGGGCCTTAAGTGGCTTCTTTCATGAAATATGTCTGCACCTGCCATGAAGACACAGCAAAGCCTGATTTACTGTGGATATATTCAGTGCATGTAATACTTTCTGGGTCTACTGGAATATGCTTGGCTTATGGCTGAAGCAATGATTTGCATTGTATGCACTGCGGTTCTGCTGCTAGCCTGCTCCCTGCCTGTGTAAGCAGCACCTGAAAAGAAGCTGGGAAGGGGCTACTTTCACCAAACATTCCTCCAGCCTGTTACCTCCTAGAACGTAGGTCCTGTACATACTTGTGTGTCTAAACAAGTTGAATGCTGGCTGCCATGCATTAGCTGTCTGGTCAACAACATGTTTCCAGTTCCTATCCAGTTAACTGTGATTTGATCACCCTTCCTGTAGATTCCAGGATGTAATGACAAAACACTCATGCTCTGTCCACTGTCCTCCACTTGCTAAGTATCAGTCTTATTTCCAAACTGAAATTATCCAAGCATAAAATTGACATACTTTAAACCATGTATAGCAGTTTCCTACTCACTTGCATAATAATTATTGTTTATGCAGTTAAAACAAATTTAAACCAAAGCAAAAGATTTCAGTCAATCCAGAGACAGGATATTTTCTAATTAGGTTATAATTCACAAAGACTATCTGGCAGTATATTTTTATCTATACTTATATATATACTTTTATATATGCTTATATATTTATGTATATCCCTCCCCTGTTCAGGCTGGGAAATGGGGAATTCCATTGTTGCAGGTAGGCTGGTCTCCAGTTTTCAGAGGGAAACCTGCAAGAAAATGACTGTGTAAAGAAGTGGTACAGGATAAGAAAGATGCAGGAGCATAAAAAAAATGCAGATTTCTAGAAATTTGCTGGAAGATGAGGTTTTTTCCCTGAGTTTATTTTAGGACAATCAGATAGAGCCTCCGATCAAACAAAAATCTTCACTGAAGCTAAAGATGCCATTGCACACATAGATTACACGTTAATCATGAAAAAAAGTTTTGAGCCATTCAAATTGTTTTTTGCCACATTATTTCAAGCACTCTTTTATTGATACTGGTTATTTAGTGAGTTGGTCTTCATACCTTATAAATAAAAAGCTTCTCTAAAACAAATGAAAATGGATGGGTAAGAATTTATTGAGAAATTTAAGAGAGCCAAAACCTGTATGGAGACCACCAAAAAGCAGTTTGCAGTGTATGACTGGTGATACAAGAACTGAATCAGGGGCACAAGGAATTGTGATAGAAGAAACAGCTCTCAGAGCTCTGTGAGAGCATAGAGACTTGCAGGATGCCACACTACATTACAGGGGACAAGATGATTTTGGCAAGTGTCATCTGATATGTAACATTAATTGTGATACCAGTGGAGATATTAATGGGAAGTTCTGTAACTACTTAGAGGAAACTATAGCTATGAATATTAACCAGCTACTAGATCATGCCAGAGATTCTGACTAGGTACTTCATGAAATCATAAAAACTTCCAAAATGGAAGTATAGCACATATTATATGCAGTTTTCATTAAAATACCTAGTACACAGCTTCGTAACATTTTAAATGCAAAAATATATTTTTCAGTTAATGACAAAAGACTGACATAGGAAAACTTTATGGGTATCATTATTATTGCTAGATCGATAATTTCCAACAACAAATTTATTCCCCACAGCAGCAGGCCCTCTGCTAGAAAAATGAAAGGCAAAAGATTAAGTTAGAACTTATAATTTCACTGGACAGGGTTATATAGCTCTAGTTTGCCTGGACAACATTGTAAAACATACATCTGGACAGCACCCCTAATAGCTCTACTCGTCCATAACTGTTGTGATGGGAATAGATGTTGCCCTCTTGAAAAGCACAGCCTCATGAGGTGGAATGACAGTGAAAAATCTGGTCCACCATTTTTTTAAGGATGCAGTACATTAAATGAGAGATGAGGAATTCAGTTATGGTGAAGAAAGAACATAAAATTGATGATCCTTTCAAAGCCTGGCCATGTAAGTAATGACTGAGAGCAATTTTCATCTGTAAGCTCTTCAAGTTAGTTTACATTAAATAAATTGTTCTTTTTCCAATGATGGGATATTGCCATTGCAGAAATCCTCACAGCTGGTAATTTCAGTAGAGATGAAGAATTAAGTGTACACAGACCCCACCTTTATCTGCATAGAGATGCTTGTCTGGGATCAGGTCCCATACATATCAGAAAGGTAGCAGATGGCCTCTTGCAGTTGTGTATTCTGTGATTCTATGGACATAGAGAAAGTCATGTTTCAAAGCTCATGTTTATTATAGTTTCTATAATTAGAAAATACAGATGTTTTGTTTATGTGCATAATGTAAAATATCTGTAGTGTAAATGCAGTAACAGTGAACTGAAAGTTTCCAGCACATAATTTTTGCAAGTGAATTTTAAATGTCTGGATACCATTGCAAACATTTAACTAATGTTTTTTTAAAAAAAAAAGATAGCTCAGCAAATCAGCTATAAGTAAAGCCATGCACTTCAGTGCAGTGTATCTAATAATTTTCATGCTGAAGAGATGAAAACTTCATTATCTTTATGGTTTATTATAAAAGTAATGTATAAATGCTAAGAAGAAGCCTGTATAATTTGTTTTTGAAACTCAGCATGTTGGCAGAGAATTCTTGATCTCAAAGGATATTGTTAATTGTGAGTTGGGGGAATGTTTTCTTGGTTTTATTGGTCCTGCAGAATACATTAAAGCAGGTTTGGCCCCAAAATAGCGACAGCTACATTGACATCCCAAACAGAGGCAGCTTGCATCCCAGGGAAGTACCAAGGGAAGTCAGTAGTAGAAAAGGACACTCGATCCAGTACAACTGAATATGAAGCTGGCAGCATAAACATCTGGACTTTTTGGTACTCTTCTTGCCTTGTTAAGATTTGCCCTCACAAAAGGAGGATCAAGGTTGGCTGTAGTCACTGAAGCACAGCACAGAGATGTCCAAATTAGCTGTAAGCACACCAGCTCAGCCACTCTACTGTTGCCATTACAATGCAGAAATCCCAGCTTCTCAGCAGGGTAATTCCATCTGCAAGGGCTCTGTGTTGTTGTCACTGTCAAGTAGACATGCCCTGACTATTGTTCATGAAATTAGTCTCCTTTATATTAATGGATTTTACTGCCTGAGGTATTTTAATTGTGTTCTATTGCCAAAGGCTTTCTAATAACTTGATGATGTTTTATGTAGTAACAGAAGTTTCTGGTTGCTTGAAGACTGAGATGACAACCTGAGTAATTGTATAACTTAGGAAGATGATATCTGAGCATATGCCTAACAATTTCTCATTCGCATTTGATAACCTCATAATGTATATGAATATTCCAAAAAGACAACAGAAATGCCCCAGTGGCTTTGATGCATTTATTTTAAAGGCAATTTGCATACATTTCCTGACATTCCCAACTATCTAGCCAGCTTTTAATACAAATGAATTAGTTGCTGATAAAGGATAAATCAGTTTGATATGGCTGGGCACACCTGAATTGTCCTTGGTAGGACTATTTTGCTAGGTGAGATTCCCATATCTGTCAAAGTTTAGTCAGTCTGTGGCACTGGTAGTATTTGGTGACCATTTCAAATCATACCTTTTGCATTTTTTAAGTGCAGAGAGCCCCCCAGTCTTGTTCACAAGATTCTTCCTGTCCTGGTTTGAGCCAGGATGAAGCCAATGATTTCAAATGGGGTCCTGACCAACAGAAAGCTTTTGAGCAGATCAAAAAGGAGATTGTGCAAGCAATGGCCCTTGGACCAGTTCGAACAGGGCCAGACATCAAGAACGTGCTCTACACTGCAGCCGGACACAATGGTCCCAACTGGAGCCTCTGGCAGAAAGCACCAGGGGAAACTGGAGGCCGACCCTTGGGATTCTGGAGCCGGAGCTACAGAGGTTCTGAGGCCAACTACATAACAACTGAGAAGGAGATACTTGCAGCATATGAAGGGGTTAGAGCCGCTTCAGAAGTAATTGGCACTGAAGCACAGCTCGTCCTGGCACCCAGGCTACCGGTGCTGAGATTCATGTTCCAGAATAACCTTTCTCCTGTCCATCATGCCACTGATGTGACTTGGAGTAAATGGACTGCTTTGATCACCCAGCGAGCCCGAATAGGGAAACCTAATCGTCCAGGTATTGTGGAAGCAATTACAAACTGGCCAGAAGGCACCCACTTTGGAATGCCACCACAAGAAGTGGTGAGACGAGCTCAAGAAGCTCCACCATATGATCATCTACCAGAGACTGAGAAACAATTTGCTCTTTTCACTGATGGCTCCTGTCGTCTTGTAGGGAACCGCCGGAAGTGGAAAGCTGCCATGTGGAGTCCTACAGGAATAACTGCACAAGCAGTTGATGGAGGAGGTGAATTAAGTCAGTTTGCAGAGGTACATGTGCCTC